TGCATCACTTGGAGGGAGTTTGAGTCCAAGCAACAGAGATTAACTCTGGTTAACATAAGCAACAGAAGAATCTATATTTGGTAAGACATTAAGGACTTCAGGGAATGGAATAAAAAGGGAAGCCTGGAGAGTCAGGGTAAGGATGGAGGATATAGGGTTAGGGAAGCTTGGACCCCATCCTCACTTCATGGCTAGGTGTGCAGGGTACTTGGATTGATAATGCCACCAGACTGTATCTAGTAGGGAAGATTGGTTCTTTTATAGGAAAACCAGGAAATCTAATGAGTGGTCCTATAACCCGTGGGGTCTAGAGCCCTTCCTAGGATTTGGACAAATCCCAAGGTATTTAGGGGGAAACTTCTGATGTTTGTAACTTATTTTGAAATGCATAAAAAGTAAGACATAAGATGACTTAATGGATGGGAATAGGGATGTGTAGATGGTTATATATGTCATAAAGTATAATAAAATATTCATGGTAGATTTTTGGTGATGGGTATATGGGTATTCACCATAAAATTATTTCAAATTTGCTATATGCTCGAAATTTTTCATAATCAGGTATTACAGGAAAGAAGGAAAATTAGGCATTGGTTACCCAAAGTTCAGGAGGCCAAAGCAGTAAAGAGAGTCCTTCTCAGGAGGTCTTGCTAATAGGCTCATTGCATGAACAGGGCCGTGGTTCTTTGCCAAGCTGGACCAATCTTCTGGGCTTTGTGCATTGGCCTTTGGGCTTAACTTGCTTTTTTACTAGAATCAGTGGATGTATTTAATCCATTTGGTCTACTGCTAACTAATGTGGCCTCACAGAAATGCCCTCAGCCTGTCTAGACCTAAGGTGTGAATTCTCCATGTTTAACTGTAAAAATAGAGAAAATAATGTTTGGGGACAGTACTTGGGACTATTGAATGCTGTCTAGTTTCTTGACATCTGGTTTTATGAGATTTCTTGGTGACTAGAACTGTAGTTATTTTCTCACGGTTGCCCTGGGAATACCATTAACATCTTGATTTATAACAATCTAGGTCAGATTACCAGCAATTTAATTTCAATAATGTAAGAAGACTTTCCTTCTATGTAAATCTGTCCTGCTCCCACTTTTATGCTATTCTTGTCACAGATTACATCTTTATACATTTTTTGCCCATCAGCATAGATTATAATTATTGCTTTAAGTAGCTTTTTTTTTTTTATCAGAGGGGAAAAAAAGAAGTCCAGATCAAAAAAATACATGTATACTGTCTTCTATGTTTATCTATGTAGTTACCTTGAACAGAGCTTTTTAGTTCTTGATATTAATTCAAGTTACTACTTAGTTTCCTTTCATTCAGCCTGAAGGCCTCCTTTCAGTATTTCTTGTTGAACAGGCTTGCTGACAATAAACTGCTGTTGTTTTGTTAATGTCTTAATTTCTCCTTAATTTTTGAAGGATAGTTTTGCTGTATATAAAATTCTTAGTTGACAGACTCTCTTTTTTAAATTTAATTTAAACACTTTGAATGTTATTCCTCTGCCTTTTGGCTTCCATGGTTTTTGATAAATCTGATATCAAATTATTCTTTGAAAGAATCATTTTTATGTGATGAGTGACTTCTCTCCCTCAGCTTTTAAGATTCTCTCTATCTTTGGCTTTTGACAGTTTTACACTAGGTGTAGGTCTCTTTCAGTTTATCTTTTTTTTTTTTTTTTTTTGAGACAGAGTTTCACTCTTGTTACCCAGGCTGGAGTGCAATGGCGCGATCTCGGCTCACTGCAACCTCCACCTCCTGGGTTCAGGCAATTCTCCTGCCTCAGCCTCCTGAGTAGCTGGGATTACAGGCACGCGCCACCATGCCCAGCTAATTTTTTGTAGTTTTAGTAGAGATGGGGTTTCACCATGTTGACCAAGATGGTCTCGATCTCTTGACCCCGTGATCCACCCGCCTCGGCCTCCCAAAGTGCTGGGATTATAGGCATGAGCCACCGCGCCTGGCCTCTTTCAGTTTATCTTACTGGAGTTCACTGGACCTCTTGGATGTGTAGATCAATGCTTTTCACCAAATTTGGGGATGTTTTGGACATTAATTATTCTAATATTATTTTCATATCCTCCTGCTCTCCTTCTAAAACTCCTCTTATACATATATTGATACACTTAATGGTGTTACATGAGTCGCTGAGGCATTGTTTATTTTCTTCATTTTTTTTTCTTATTTCTCATACTTAATAATCTCAGTTGACCTATCTTCAGGTTGTCTGATTCATTCTTCTGCCTGCTCATAATTGCTGTTGATCCCCTTAGTGAGTTTTTAAAAGTTATTGTACTTTTCAGCTCCATGATTTATATTTGGTTTCTCTTTATAATTTCTGTCTCATTACTGATGCAGTCTATATGGTGAGGTATCATTCTCATACTTTACTTCTCTAGACCTGGTTTCCTTTAGTTCTTTGAACATATTTAAAATATCTAATTTAATTTTTTTTCTCCAACATCTGGGCTTCCTCAGGAACAATTTTGATGGATTTCTTTTTTTCATGCATATTGGCCATATTTGTTTCTTTGACTGTCTCATATTTTTTTTTTTTGTTGAAAATAGAGTATTAATGTAAAGTAGCCACTCTGAAAATCAGATTCTTCTTTTCCAGAGGATTTTTGTTGTTGCTCTTTGTTGTAGTTATTTTTGTTTGTAGTTATTTTCTTTGTTATTTGCTTGTTTTGTTTTTATGAACAAATTCTATATTCATCTGCATTCTTTATTTTATATGGCCACTGAAATTTCTTCTCAGTTAGTTCAGTGATCAGCTGATGACTGAGCAGGAGATTTTAATGAATTTCTGAAGCCAATAAGTCTCCTACTCTTTGCCAAAGGGCTCCGTGTCTCTTGAGGCATATCCAACACATATCTATGCAATTGACAAATCTGCTTTTGCCTTCACTCATGCTTGTACAGTCTCAAGGTCAGCCAGAGGTGAGAGCTTAGGGTCTTTCCAGTTTTTTCCTGAACATGTGCACAGTCCTACACATGTGTATGTGGCCTTCCAGACTTCCAGGAACATTTTGGAGATTTTGACAGCCCCTTGGACATTTCATTTCGTATCTTTTCCTTTTAAAGCTTTTTGGTTAATCTATTGTTTGTCCCAACTGTGATCCATTTGCCTCAGACAACCATGCTGCTGAAACATTTGCCAGTAAATGTTTTCAACAAATGTCCTCTACCCTTTTAGGAAAAGGCTTTTAGTGCTGGGCAACCAAAAAAGCCATGCCGTTCAGTGGCGTTTACTAGGGAATCACCAGACAGGTCAAATAATGACAATTTTCTTGAAATGAGGTCTGCTCTGCTCCCTTCATACTGGGTTTCCAGGTTCCCAGGCTGATGTCTTCCTTTTCAGTGGTGTTCCCAGGCTTTCTAATTCAGACTGGCCATTTTGCAAAGATGAGATCAGAATGTCCAATCTAGGTCTTCCCCAAATGAGGCTCTTTCAGGAACTTAGTACATTTTGCAGCCTGAGTGTTAGGTACCTATGTGATTCACTGTCCTGATTGGTAGAGCCCAGAAGTCCTCAAGGCCTCCTCACTGACTTTTATCACCACGTGGAAGATTTAAGAAAATGACTAAAACCCCTGGTCCCATAATCTGTGAAGTCTGGAGCCTTTCCTAGTATTTGGACAAATCCCAAGTAGTGGATGGACTCCTTCTCTTTCACGTGCCATGAGCACTACCTTGACTTGCCCCACACCAAACCTGAACTCAAAGCTCAGTATCCACCACACATTTCACAAGAGCGGCAGCTTTACTGAAGGATAGAGAACTAACGAGAGGGCACATCTCACAGCGCCAGCCTCCTGCTGCCTCCTGCTTCCCTTCACAGTCTCCATTCCTCTGTCTTCCCCCTTCCACAGCAAGAAACTAACTTTTCTTCTTGTCCCATGAAAAGCAAGTCCTCCACATCCAGACCTCCTGGGATTTCACCATCTACCCTAAGCACTCATCAAGGTATTACATCAAACCAAGTTTCCTTTGTAAAAGGAAAAAAGAATGAGTTTTCCCTGGCTCACACATCTTGTGTGTGTTGGTGATTCCCTGCTGCTCAGCTGCCCTCACTTCATCTTTCATCCACTTACTAGCATCTCCCAAGCCTTCTCCAAACCAACTCCTCACTTCAACTATTCTCCCTTTCCTGTCTTTCTCCCCACAGCAAGCCCTCCCCTAACCATCCCCAGAGGACTCTACCACTTCCGCTTGTATGTCTCTCCATCCTCAACCTCTTTGTCCTATATGCTCACAGTAGATCCTATCCTCATGTAGGTCAGGGCTGGGGCAGACCCACGATTCTTCCTATTGCTGACTTGCAGTCTGTGACTCTTTCCTTCCGAAAAAAGCATCCTTGAAGCAAATGAGTGGGAAGTGTGATTCTAGGAATCCTCTGATCCACTCTTAAATGCTGTGGTTGTCATCTGTATGTGCCTATGCAGGGGAAGGATGGCAAAGCTCTTCAGAACTGACCGCACACCACATTAAGGATGCCCTCATCCTTCCCCGGCTTGATTCAGGCCTGCTGCAGAGTGAAAGAGCTGTCCACTTGGAGCTCTTGAGATGATCATTAAAGGACTTGCACCTCTAAAGAAGGGAGGAATCCCTGATGTAGCATTTGCTGCTTAAAGAAAAAATAGAGTGATGTGGAGTCTACCGAAGTAGACAGGCAGGCAGTCAGCATTCAGAGCCCCAGTGGTGCCACGCTAGAGCTCAAGAGCAATGGTGTAGGTTAAACTGTGGGCACTGGGTGAAAATCTACACTGGGCTGAGGCATGAGTAAACAGCTCCTGGTGTGCAGAGTGAGCTGGCCAGAGGAGGAAAGCGGAAGCCCCATTTAGTAATGACCAGCACAGAGAACCACTGAGGGTCACCCCTGCTGTGGTCCCAGGGTCATGTAGGAAACAGCAGGTCAGGTGGCCTCCATGCTGTACCTGGTGGAGGCAGGTCCCCTGCTGCACCCCACCAAAGCCTGGGTGTCTCCACAGGTCCACGACCGCTTGGATCGCTACTGTTGTGGCTTTGAGCCTGAGCCCTCAGACCCCTGTGTGCAAGAGGGGCTCCGAGATAAGTGCTGGAACCCGGCTGAGCTGCGGCTGGTCCACATCCTGGTATGTCCCCTCCACACCATCCCCTGGTCACCCCAGACCTGGGTCTTCCTGTCTCCTTCAGAAGTTGCTGTTAGCAAGTTTCAGAGATCATTTGATGCTGGGGTTTCCCAGTCTTGTTCTTTTTAGCAGCAGAACCAGTTGTTTGAATATTTCCAGGAGGCTGCAATATATAAAACTAACAAAATGGAGTTTTAAGAAAGCCTCTGAGGTGGAGTGTGGGGTGTGGGCTGGAGCCCTGTTTTCACTGTCTCCACTGCCCCTAAGAGACTCCAGGGAACAACTGGGGCTCCTGGAAGTGGAGTTCAAGAATGGTGTGTCTAGTCAGCATCCTCACTGTGCCAGTAAATGAGGAATTGCAGTCTGGAGCGAAAGGAATCTCCAGGGCCATATGGTAGCAGCATTAGGGCATGAACCCAAGACCCCAGTGGCTCACAGGCTGGTGCTGCTCCCATCAAAACTAGAGTCGAGGGTGGGAAGCAATGTGCTGAGGCCACTGGAGAGGGCAGAATAGCCACTTCTTTTGCATAAGAAGCAAGGTGCTTCCCCAAGGGAAGGGTTTCTCTATGTTGTCCTGCAATGAAGCACAGTGTCCTTGCAGCCTCCCTTTGCTCTTGGAGGGGAGCTGTCAGCCTGGTGTCCAGGGCTGGGCTTCAGGCCGGCCACATCACCCGGATACCAGGATTGGCTAGTGGTGGTGCTGGGAATTCTCCTCCCCTGCCTCCAGAGCCATCTCTCCTTTTCCCTGGTCAAAGGTAAGCATCCCCTGGACAGGCAAAACTCTAGTCGCCATTGTTTACCCCTGGTGAGCAGGCTTTTCACAGACCTTTTAGGACAGCAGTTTCCAGAGGAAAGAATCACCCTTTGAGAAAAAGGTGATCCTGACATGTGGAGTGGGGTGCGAAAGGAGAAGAGGCAGAGAGAGGGGAAGCTAAGGTCCTGGAAACAGAGGCTCATAGTTTAAGCCTAGGTCATTGGAGAGGATTGTGGGAAATGCCCATGGACTTTTGGAGACGATGTGGGAATGGAGTGTGTGCATGGGAGTGGGGGCCAGGAGAGATGGCCTCCCATTTACAAACTACACCATATTCTTTAAAGTACTAAAGAATTCTCTGGTGCTGATTTTAGTTTTGAAAAGGTTTAGGAGCTGCTAAACTCTTCTGTAGAAACAGAGTATGGTCAGTCATTTTTGAGGATAAAAGACATCACTGTGTGCTCTCACTGATGCTCAGGGGATGCCCAGGGCACAGGCACAGGTGGCACAAAGGGGTGAGTGAGTGTGTACATGTGTGAGCCGCACATGTGTGATGCCTCGCACAGCCAATGGAACCAAGGAGGAGGCTACCTCAGCACCTGCTGATTCCCAGCCATGCTCCTCACCCCTTCAGCCACCAAAACAGGATCAGTCCTTCAGCCTTGCAATTTAGCAGTGGTGCTGTGGCTTAGCCCTATGGGTCCAGGTTTGAAACAGGCCAGCTACTTACTAGCTGTGTGATTTTGTGCAAATTGCCTAACTTAAAGAAGGTGCCACCATTTCTGTAAAATAGAGCTTACACTAGTACCTGCTTCCTAAGGTTACTGGAAGCATTCATTGAGAGGATGCCTGGAAGCACTTAGCACAGTGCTCAGCATAGAGTATGCGCTCAGCTGTGAGGACTGTTAGGAAGGACTGGGGAACTGACAGCTCAGGGCTCTCAGCTACTTAATCTTGAACAAGTCCATAGGTGCCAGCCGTAGCTGCACCCTTACCCACCTCTGTCTCTGTCCACCCTCTTCCCTGAGGTCCGGAGCAGTGATCCATCTCACCTGGTCTACATCGATAATGCCGGCAACCTTCAGCACCCCGAGGACAAGCTGAACTTTCGGCTGCTGGAGGGCATAGATGGGTGAGGGTCAAAAGGGTTGGGTGGAAGTTCATGGGACTGAGACCTGATGGCCTTGCTACAAGCCATGGGACCTTGAACTGTGGCCCTGAGAAGGTCACGGTCCGTCAGACAGAAGCTATTGGATCAGAACTTTAGGCAGTGGTGGAAAGCCCTGGGAAAGCTGACAGGGGTTACAGTTGCAGGGTCTACCCCTATATCCAGAGGGCCTCCTGTGCCTGCAGAATACTAGCTTCGTTGCTGGGGTGTGGGAAGGCTAGCCCTTCCCTTGTTCTAGGTGGGAGAGTCTATCCCTCCCTACTCACTCTTGTCAGGCAGCTCTGCCTTCCTAGGATTTTTTTCTGGCCCTGCATTTGCCAAGTGGAGCCTGGGATAGCAGAATTTATTCACCTAGCTTCTGTGTAGGATGGGACCCATCCGAAAGGTCTATCCCCTGCCTTCACAGCAGAGCCAGGCAAAGGGTCCTCTGTTAATGAGATAGCGGGCACAGGCCAGGGGAGTTTGCAGGGTGACTTTGCCAGAGTTCCTCAGCTATGCAAGCTCTGGCCATCTGGCTTCGCCAGTTATTGAAACTCTCTGAGACCACTGTTGCTTTTCCTTTCTGTTGTGGGGCTCTGGGGCCTTCACTCCAGGTTTCCTGAGTCTGCTGTGAGGGTTCTCACATCAGGGTGTCTACAGAACATGCTGCTTAAGTCGCTGCAGATGGACCCTGTGTTCTGGGAAAGCCAAGGTGGGGCCCAGGGGCTGAAGCAGGTCCTCCAGACCCTGGAGCGGCGAGGACAGGTGCTGCTGGAACATATCCGGAAGCACAACCTCACACTCTTCAGGGACGAGAACCCGTGAGCCTCGCCACGGCCCTGAGTCAATGAGCATCCATCCTGATGGCCACATCTTCTTGGACTCACTCATCTTGAGGACAAATAGGAAAAGCCAGAAGCCAGAGGGGCACAAGGATGTCACAGGATATTTCAACTGCCTGGGATGGTGGAGGTAGCATGTGGTTTTCAATCTCAATGCATTCCTTTCTGCCTGCTTGGTTCTGGCTGTTTATTCCCTTATACTATCAAATACATTCAAAAATGTTCTGTGAGCTGCTCAAGATACTGTAAAAATGTGTGATGCACATGCATGTGCAGAGCTGGAGAACGCTGTGTGTGTAGAGGTATAGAGGTGTGTGTGGCATGTGTGCACGCCTGGATCCGATACATGACACAAACCTAATAAACGTACCATCTTCATAGAACTACACTTACAGCCTAGAGTCGCTCTGGCTGAAAGTAGACTCAGGCCTAAGAAATGAAACATAATGCATTTGTTTTTATAGACTTTAAATTTTCAATTCTTACTCAGTTATGTTTTTTAATTAAAAAAATTATAAAAGTCTAAAAGTAATACATGCTCAATAAAAACAAATTCATAAATAATGGAAGCATATGACAAAAAGCACAAGTCCCACAAACCCCCTAGGGGTGTGTATATGTCTGTATTATTCATGGTCACAGTACATGCACATTAAAAAATAAAAGTGTGGTCATGCTTTCTTTGTCAGCTCACTATATTTTTACTTTATTAACTATATTCTGTATCAGCCATCTGAATGGACCCGATCTTTATTGGTGACTGCATGAAATTCCAAGGCAGGGATGTATCATATTTTATTTAGCTGGTCCCATGATCATGAAGATTTAAGTAGCTCCAATTTTTCATCAATTGCAGACGTTGCTGCCCTGAACATGATTGTGTGGCGTGCAAGTATTTCTGCAAGATAGATTTCAATAAGAGAATTTCTAGGGCAAAAGGTATGGGCATTCAGTATTCTGAGAGAAACTGCCAACTTGCTCTCTGAAATGGTCGTGTCAATTTACATTTCTCCCAAGAGGATAGGGAACTGATTATTTTTCTACACCCTCAGAAACACTTGACATTCTCAGACTTCTTGGGGTTTTTTGGTCTATTTAGTAGGAAAACCTATTTTAAAAACTGTATTTCCTTAATCATGAATGAAGTCATCTTTCCACTTATTTACCAGACATTTGTATTTTCTTTTCTGCATTGCCCTTTTCTTTTAAGATGTTTGCCCTTTGCTTGTTAATTTGTTGGAAATCTTTGACTCTATTGAGTGTAATCAGTCTTTTCTCTATTGACATGTTGTAAATGTTTTCTTCCAGCCTGTCATTTGTCTCTTAACTTTGTTTATAAAGTCTTTTGCCAAGTGTAAAATGTTAATTTCCACGTAGTTAACTTTGTTTAACTTTCCCTTTAAGTCTTTTGAGTTTCATGCCTTCTTAGAAAGGCTGAAGAATATTGAAATAATTCAAGAATATTGAAGAATAAGAATGATTCTTGAATATTGAAATATTCAAGAATATTGAAATAATCTCCTGTGTTTTATTCTAGTATTATACAGTATTTCTTATATATTACATAGTATTTCTTATGTATTTTCATATAGATTCACTCTAAATTAATATATAAAGCCTTTATTTTATGTGGTTTTAAGCAGAGAATGGTGTGAGTTATAGATCTAACAAGTTTCATTTCCCCTAAAATAGATAGATAGTTGTAACATTATTCCATAGTCTATTCTTTCTCTATTGCTGTGAAAGTATACTCTTATCAGATACTAAGTTCCCATTATGCACGGAGGTCCATTTGTGAACTCTGTTCTGATACTTTTTTTCAGTTCCTGCATTAGTATGACAGTGTTTTAATTAAAGTTACTTTATTCTTTTTTTTTTTTTTTTTTTTTTTTTTTTTTTTTTTTTTTTTCCATTTTTTTATTCTTTTTTTTTTTTTTTCCTTGGCTATTTGTGTGCATTTGTCTTTCATATAATAATGTTGGCCTATGAAGTATGCCATCCCTCTCCTACCATCCTCAAAATCCCATTGGTGTTTTCATTGTGATTATATTGAATTTATAAATCGTGGGAATCTGACATCTTTGAATATTGAGTGCGCTTATTCAGGGACTTGGTTTATCAATCCACCTATTCTTTGATAATCTCTAGCAACATTATTTTGTTTACGGAGACATGTTCTTGCTCTGTCACCCAGGCTGGAGTGCAGTGGCGAGATCTCAGCTCACTGCAGCCTAAAACTTCTGGGCTCAAGTGATCCTCCCACCTCAGCCGCCTGAGTCGCTGGGACAGCAGGTGGGCCACCACGACCGGCTAATTTTTGTATTGTTTCGTAGAGGTGGGATTTTGCCATATTGCCCAGGCTGGTATTGAACTCTTGAGCTCAAGGCATCTGCCCATCCCAACCTCCTAAAGTGCTGGGATAACAGGCATGAGCCACCACACTCTGCCTCTAGTAACATTTTAAAGTTTTCTTCAACAAATAAACTCATTTTAAAGAGAGTTTGTAATTTTTATTCCTATTGAGAATGAGTTCTTTTTCTTGATTAGATTTTTCTTGATAGACTTTTAGGTCCATATCTTAACAGTTTTTAAGTAGAAAATAATATTTTCTTTTTATTTATTTATTTTTTTCTTTTTATTTCTGAAAATAATATTTTCAAATAATGATAATTTTACATTTATATTTTACAAGTGTGTGTGTGTGTGTGTGTGTGTGTGTGTGAGTGTGTGTGTATACTCTTCTCATTTATTTATATTACTTGGGTTGGGAGCTTTCTGGAGGAAAATTGACTAATAATAGTGACAATGGTAGGCATCCACATCTTATTCCTGACTTTAATGGGAACAAGTCTGTGGTTTCTATTAATATCAAGTTTAAAGAAATCATTTCTGATAAATATCTTTCATCAAGTTATGGAAGTTTCTTTTCATTCTTAGCTTACTAAAAGAATTTTTCAAAAATCAAGAATGGGGATTAAATTTTAGTAAATGCCCTTTTCAATATCTATTGGAAACATAGTTTTTCTCCTTTATTTTCTAATGCTGAATAATCTTTATATTCTCAGAATAAACCAATTTGGCTGAGGTATTTAGTATTTTGGGAACTGCAGAACTTAACTTGCCAATTTTATTTTTAGAATCTTTGCATATACATTCATAAGGTTTTCCTTTTTGGGCATTCCATGGCTGTCTTACTATTAAATGTAAACATACCTTGTAAAATAAATTCAGAATTTTATTATCTTTTTAATGCTTTGTAACAGTTTAAATAAGAACCATTTATTCCTCAAAAGTTTTATAGAACTCCCCCACAAAACCATCTGGGCCCTGTGCCTTTTGCTAGATCTTTTACAGACTAGTGTGGGAGATAGGTAGCAGGGGCCTGCAGTCAACCAACATGCCTGGCATACTCAGTGGAGATAGAAATATAGAAGTGTCCTGGGCAATACTCAGGCCCTTGAAAAAGGGAGTTTGGATTTAGAGAGTTCAGGCATTTCTCTTAAGGTCACCAATGCTTATTTGACTTTGACTTTTTTGTCTTTTCTCCTCTTCTTCCTATGTTCTCAGTTCTTTCCAAGGATACCCTTATCAAGTTATGCTGCTCCTCCTGGTCTCAACCAGTTTCTGTTTAACAGCCTCTGCTTTGCCTTCTGCCTGGTAGAGCTACACGCATCCAGAGTTGGGAGTGAGACACTTGTCATCCTAGAAAATGGCAAGGAGAAAGGAATACGAGGAAACATTTCATTGCAAAGCAGAGCTGGGGCTCTCACATCAGGATGAGACTCATTCTACTTTGTGACTTAACCAGCCCCTTTAAAATAAACAGATCTCATCCTGTCTTGCCATTGAGAGACTGAACATGCAAGTGGACAATGCCCAAACTACATATAATAATAAAACTCTATGCCACCACTTCTGTAGCAACCAGCTCAGAGACCCAACCACAATCTGCCCAGTAGAGTGAGGGCCTAATCAGTGACTGCCAGCTTCCTTATTTTTGTCCCTACTTTCAACTCAGGACCAATCAGAGAAAGCCAAATATGCTCCCCTAACCAATCACTTAGGATGCCCTACCTCTGGTTTGCTCACTCCAGTGTCTCCCATGTCAGCAGCCTCCAATCAGGGTATACCTGGAGCCTTCCCTTTCTCACTATAAAGTTTTCCCAGTCTGTGCCTGCCTCGGAGTCCCTGCCAAATGCAAGTGATGGTGCTGACCCCTTGCCATAGCAAGCCCGTCTGTTCTCCCTTGGCTAGTCTTTGTTGATTTCCACACTGCCTGGCTGTGAGGACTAAACAAAGTTAGCTGGTAATGCAGGTGAAGGCAGCGGCCTGGCACCCGGAAGGGCAGGCAAATAGCGACATCCTGAGAGCAGGATTCCTTTACACTGAAATGGGGCAGGGGTAGCCATCTAAGAAAGTAGAGGAAATCTGCCTGGCAGGGTTGCCTGGCTTGTGTGTGTGTGTGTGTGTGTGTGTGTGTGTGTGTGTGTGTGTGTATGTGTGTATAGAATTTCTCTTTGAAAAGACCAAGCCAGACTCTTCCTGTCAGTGAGCAAGGCCCCAGCTTGCACTAAGCCCTTTTGTGTGCTAATGTGAACAGGTCTGCTCAGCACAGACAGGGGGGTGTGTGGGCAGATGTGGAGTAGCCCCTCTCAGTCTGCCCAGGGCATACCAACCACTTGTGGCACTGTGTCGCAGCTCTGCCTCCTTAGCCCACCTGGCAAGGACACCATTTCTGGGCACTCCCATCAATGCTGACCTCTTCCTCCCTGGAGGTGTGAGAAGGGCAGGCTCCCTGGGTTCGGTGGTTTATGTGGATCAAAGCTTTTAACCTCACAACAACCACATGGGGAGGTGTGATTGTTATTATCTCCATTTTACAGATGAGACACATAGGGTCACCCAAGGTCACCCAGCTTGTAGGTAGAAGGGTGAGACTTCTAGCCCAGCAGGAACTGTGTTAGCAAGTCTTGCCTCCAAGACCACCACTAAAAGATGCTCCCACCACACTCCCCAGCCCAGCCACCCTGACAGTTCCTCTTTGGATTCAGAAGGATTAGCGGAAGAAGAACTGTCTGTCAATGATGTGGCAGGGCCAGCTCTCTGGACCGGGGTGACTCAAACTGCAACTCCTGGCCAAGCACATTCACATGCATCTGGCTCTTTGCTTGTTAAAGTTCTGTCTAATCTATTAACAGTGACTTTCCCGCAAACTGGAAATGTCATCCACTTTTATCCTTCTCAAGAAAGCCTCTTCGCCTCAGTGCTTGCTGCTTGCCCAGCTGTTCCCTCTGGAATGAGAACCGTGTGCCAAGTGAAGCAAACAGCCAGGAATCAGGATGTTCCCACCAATCTTAGAAGAGGCTGTGAAGGTCGGAGCTGCCATGGGTCTGCAGTGGGTGAGGTGTGATGGGGGTTATGCTCTACTTCAGGCAGATTGGCCTGAGAGGCTCTGCTGAGGCCATCACAATTGCCAGCCTCCGTGCTGCCAGACAGACCTCACTCCAGGTCCAACCTGCTCCTCCTGCATCCCCAAATGAATGAGGTGTTGCAAGAAAAATGATGGTTTCCAAGCTGGGGTGGCGGGGGTGGGGGGGCGGCTGATGATAGTAACACAGGTTCATAACCTTCTAGATGCAATTCCAACAATTCCCCAGAGCATGAAAATCAAAAGCATTTTTGGTATGTTTGGTGCTAAAACTCATGTCCCACTTGGTATGAATAATTATACACCTTGCTGCAGGAATAGCAATGTGTTTGGTTATTGGGTGTAACCTTGGACTCTGCTGGGGGCACTGCATAATGCATGCATGTGCACCATATCACCTTTCTAAGCTGAAAGAGTCAGAATTCTGAATCACATCTGGCCCCCAGGGTGTGAGTATGAGATTCTGGAAAGACCTGTAATAACTAATGCTAAGGGCTTTACACAGATTATCTCATGAATGACTTAAAACAACCCCAATTTTATTATCGTTACTCTACAGATAAGGAGCCAATAGCAGGGGCAGTGGGGAGGAAGAACAGAGGGGTGTCTTGCCTGAGGCCACACAGATGGGAGCAGCTGCCTTTCTCATACAAGGACACTTCACTTGTTATTAGATTTGGGGCCCGCATGGATAATACAGGGTAAGAGCCTCCTCTCAGGATTCTTAGATATCGCTTTCGCCAAGTAAAATAATATTCACTCTTTTGCATTTAAGGTAGTATTCATAGATTCTGGGGACAAGGAAGCGAATATATATTTGGAGGGCCATTGTTTCAGCCTGCCACAGTGAAATACTGTAGTCTGTTCATATTGACTTGCAAGAGCTTATGTTGTAAAGTACAGCCATTATTAAAAAATTGAACTGTATGCTGGCTATGGTAGTGCATACCTATAATTCCAGCTACTCGGGAGGCTGAGGCAGGAGGATTGCTTGAGCTCAGGAGTTCAAGACTGAGCAATATAGTGAGGTCCAGCCTCATTATTTTTTTAAAAAGCATATCCCAATTAAGGGGTATTAAAAAGGAGGAAAAAAAACTATATATAGTTACTATTAAATAAATTACATTGAAACAAAATAAGTATTCAAAATATACCTCTTACAATTATTTTACTACATTTTGCTATCATCTATGATCTTGAGGTTTTACATCTATTGTATATCTGTATGGTGGAAATGCCATGTAATTGTGCACTTTTCAACTCTGCATTCAATGTGGTCACACTGGTGGCCTGGAATCTGCCACGGTAGGAGTATTTACACCATGGAAATCAGTAAATGCTATAATTCAGGGCTCTTTGCTTTGGAGAGCCGCGGGAAAGAACGATTCCCCTGAGGAGTGCCAGAGGGGGTCTCGAGATTTCAGGTCCACTTAGGGAAGAGAGCTGGGTGGGGAAGCCACATCTGCTCCCTGCAGGAATCTCAGACAGAAAATGCTGCCCCCTGTTGGTGGAAAGAAATATGGTCATTGTTCCTCAACAGAAGAGAGCCTGGGTGACTCCAGGGAGGCAGCTGCCAGGAGCTGTAACTTATCCCAATGGGGCTGGTGGTGGAAGCAGGTGGTGTGGGATGACGGATTGCGCAGCTCACATGATGTTTCGAAGGGTATGATGGAAACGATAAACCACTCTGCTTGTGAGAAGCCTGTCTCTCCGTCCCTGACTGGAACATCTGTCACCCTTGCACTGCCTTGTGAATGGGCAACATTGAGCTTGCCTGGGAAGGAGCTCACTCTAAGACAGTCATAAGCACCACCTGGCATGTTCTGAACATTTACAGTGGTCTCACGCTATGCCAGAAGCTTTAGATACTTCCTTATATCAAACTCTCACAACTCCACAAGGTAGGCATTATTGTTCCCGTTTGACAGACAAGGAAACTAAGGCTCAGAGAGGGTGGGTCACTTGCCCAAGGTCACAGAGCAGGTTACTGATGGAGATGGGATTTGAACCCAGGTCTGTTTGATTCCAGAGCCATGGTCCCAACCACTATAGCATCCTTCCTTCCTTCTTACATTCGTTTATTCACTTATTCAACAATTATTATCAAGCTAATTTCCCACAGAGAACATAGACTTTGGAAGGAGTAAGAGGCCATGCTGTGGTGGCCCCAGGTTCCCGATGCTTGGGGAGAGGCCCAATATTGCATATTCTGTCTGGCTGTCAGAGCGTGTGTCTTGGTACTACTGTGTTTGGGAAGCATGTCTCTTGTAACTGAGGACACAGAAAGCCTGGGAGGGTAGACAAAGCACTGTTGGCAAAGGGGGTCAAAGGAAGAGCCCTGCCTACACAGAAGTGCAGGAGGGACCTCTGTGAATATCGAGATAGTTCCCCCTTGGCCTGGGCTCACGGGTGTGTGAACGGCCACCACAGGCCCTCTGAGCCATGCTGGCTGGCTCAGGTGCACTTCCTCCATCCCCCTCCTGGACCACCCATTTTCCTTTTGCCCAGGCAGGAAGTTTTGGCTCTGAAGCCTGCCTTGCTACTGACATGGGTCTTTCCTTCCCTCACTCATGCACCTACTCTGGCCCAAGGCCTCTTCAATGGGCAGGAAGCCCAAGGGGATTTCTTACGATCTCTCCGAGGGACTGTGGAGTTCTTCCTCCTCCATTGCCCCCACTTCCCCACCCTGGAACAGCACAGGTGCTGCCTGAGGCCTCTCCTGACCTATCTTGGGTCCTGGTTAGCATTGCTCAGAGGGTGCTCATTTGGCAGTCTGGAGATATGGCATTTGGGTCTAGGGGCTGAAGGCTTTTGGGGTGGCTGAGAGCTCAGCCTCTGGGACCTCTGGGCAGGGCACATTGGGTGGTTTTGTCCAAGCAACCAGGGAAGAATCACTGAGTCTCCAAGGCAATGTCACCAGAGAGGAAGATGTCTCTAGGTGGAAACTCGACACATCTCACACAGCAGCAGAGGTAGCACCCAGTTTGTGCAGGAAAATAGCACTGGGGTCAAGGGTCCAGTGCACTTGGAAGAGGCTGGGTAGGGGAGAGCAATGGACTGCAGGAGTGTCCACCCTGGGAGGCTGTAGGGCAGAGGAGGTAGTGCCTCTCAGGGAGATGGTGGAGTCAGGCCCAGGGAACCCCAGAGGTGGTGTTGGTTGGAGGGGTGCTGGTGATGGGAAGGGGCTTGGCCTGCAAGAAAGAAGCAGGCTTACTTGTAGATGGAGAAGGAGCCACATGTGAGGATCTGAGAAATGCTAGGAAAGTCTAACTTGACCCTGCTGACCTACTGCTAGTGTCCAAAATTCCACTGTAGGACCTAGCTCCTTGTAAGGAATCCTAGAGAACATCTGGCCTTTTGAGGCAGGTGCAGGGAGAAAGTAGAAGGTGAGTGAGAGGTCCACCACAGGCATGTCCCCTGACCCAGAGCAGGCTGAGGTGGGTGAGCTCTGGAGGGTCCCTGGTGCACCTGGGAGTGGAGGCCCAGGGCCCCTCAAGGTGTAGGTATTAGTAAAGTCACTTAAAGCTGATGGATATGAGGATATGGATTTTACAGTCTTCTGTGTGTGTTTTCCCAGCAACATTTCCCATGGGATCATTGTATACCACAGACACTGAATTACACCAGGAAACAGGGCTTTGCCTCCCTGTGTCCATGTGTCAGGTGAGTGGTGCACTAGGCATCACCTTGGGTACAGGGAGCATGACCCAAGATGCTGTGCCTAAAGGGAATGCTAAGGTGCCCTGCTTCTTGGACGTCTGATTGCCGGTTCTCATGACTGCTGCTTCATTTAAAACTTAATTGTAGTGAGATATCAGAACCAAGAACTTGACATTGGTACAATATGTGTGATTCCACAGTCCTGTTATCATGCACCCACATACAACAGTGGGGTAGGATCCCAGGCATCTTGGATGATTTTCACATCAGGAATGAATGGATGCATCCTTTCTCTGCCCTGCCCACATGGAAGTTCTGCTGCCCACATGAAGGCACATCTAGTTCTGGTGAGTGACCATGGTGAATGTCAGGGATTGGGTTGCCCAATCTCCACCCCGCCTTCCTTCTATGGGGTCTTCCTGCACTGCTGAGACCGAAAAGCTGCACACTCCATTACCCAGGCTCCCTTGCAGCTGGGTTCTGGATGCAAATTAGATTCTACCATTCAGATGTACTCCTAGGAGGGCCGTCCCCCTGTGTGGACATCCTCCCGTGCCTTTTAGCTATTTTCAGTTCACAGGCAAAGTGGTGGCGATGAGAGGTGTTCTAGAGCAGGCTTCAGTGTCCACTTGCCAGCTTTCTGGGTCCCAAGAGTGGGAGGCTGGCAGAGTGGGGCTGGACGGTGATTCTGTTACCCAGTCACCAGCTTTGTGATGGTTGAGAGATGGCTGTGACACTGCTGAGAGCATCCTGATCCCTAGATCCCAGCTCCATTTGTGGTTCTTTAGCTCACAGCCCTAGCAGCAGCCTCCGGGATTGTGGTGGTTGCAGAATTGAGGCCTATCCTGGAGCACTCTCCCCCAGATCTTCCAAGGATTTCTTAAACGCTTTCTGTTTTGAAAAAAAAAAAATGATAAATTCACAGAAGTTGCAAAGATAGTACAGGGAGGTCCTGTGTATCCTTCACCGAGTTTCCCCCATAGTTACAGCTTCCTTAATTGTAGTGCAATATCAAAACCAAGAACTTAATATTGGTACAATATGTGTGATTCCACACTCCTGTTAATCACATGTACATTCATCAATCACCACAGCAATCAAGGTAAAGAACTGTTTCATCACCACAAAGATCACACCTACCCCTTTCACTCTCTCCCATTCCTAATCCCTGGCAACCACAAATCTGTTCTCCACTTTTATAATTTTATCATTTCAAGAGGAACGTTACATAAATAGAACCACCCAGGATGTAAACTTTGGAGGTTGGCTTTTCTTCCACTCAGCACAATGTCTTTGAGACCCATCTAAGTTGTTGATGTATCAGTAACCCAGTCTTTTTTGTTGCTGAGTGGTATTCCATGGTATGGATGTGCCACGTGTTGTTTAATGATTTGTCCATTGAAGGACATCTGGGTCATTTTCAGTTCTTGGCTATTGCAAACAAATCTGCTTGGAACATTTGTGTACAGGCTTTTGGGTAAACATCATTTTCATTTCTCTGGCATAAATGCCCAGGAGTCCAATTTCTGAGTCATAGGGTAAGTATATGTTCAATTTCTTAAGAAACTGCTCATCTATTTCACAGAGTACCGTTTTACATTCTTACCAGCAATGAATGTAAACCCAGCTGTTCTGCATGTTTGCTGGCATTTGGTGTTGTTGCTATTTCTTGTTTTAGTGGAAGTGTGGTTGAGTCTTCCCTTGCCACCAATGTCTCTATATTTGAACTTGGAAAATGGGAATGGTTTGGGGATACTGAGGGATTATTGGCCTCACAGTTATACAGTAATCCACCCCCACCCCCATTAGGAAAAGGTAGTATTTCAAAATATTGTTTATCATAAATTCAAATTGAATTGGGTGTACCTTCCTTTTGTTTGCTAAATTTAGCAATCCTAGGAAAAGGTTAACCTACCTGAACCAGTCAAAAGTCTGAAAGTACAACACTCAAAAACACATCATTTGATTATTTCCACTAGATGTAAGCTCCCAGAGGCAAAGATTACATCTTCTTATACTTTTTATTCCCAGGACCCAGGATAGAATTATCTCAAATTCTAAATTAGCTGTGTGTGACTTCATGAAATTTTTTCTTTGAAAAGAGAAATGAAACTCCTGTGATTAAAGGACACACACAGCTTTCTGACTATACTGCTGTTTGGAAGGGGTGTGTTTTTAAAAATGTTAATTGGAATTTATTTGGCTTTCAAAAATTCATATATAAAAATAATGAAAGCAGAAATGACACAGCCTAGTAGCTGCCTGGGTATCCCAGACTCCACGTCCTTTTAAGGTAACTCACTCTGCCCGCCCGCTTTCCCACAGGCTCAGTGTGGCCAGAGCTGACCGCGAGCCTGGCTTTATGCTGTTGCTGGGGTGGGACCTGGGCTCCACAACCTGCACCCTTCTGAAGGGAGGCCCACAGTGCTGGTCCACAGATCGATGCAGCCTTGGTTCGCTGCCTCTGGTGCTGACTGCAGGGGCCTGGCCAGACCATCATCGTCACCAGCACTGTGGACTGGGAGGGTGCAGGGCTGCATTCCTGCAGAGACCAATGGTGGCAGCACATCTCTGCCTCCCTTCTGTCCTTCCCTGCATCTGGAAGAGGACTACTTGGAGGCCTGAAACCGCCCTCCTGTCCTGAAGGGTGGAAAACCTGGCTTAACTACATCTTCTGTCAGCTGTGGGCCACGTGGACTGTCCAGCAGAGGTTGGTGCACCTGGACAGCCTGATTGTATCAGGCTGTGGCTGAGTGGGAACAGCTGGAGGCTGGTCAGGGGCTAAGGAACACCTGAAGCATTCCTTGTGGGTTTATGTTCCCATCTGGGCCCCCTGCCCAGACCTGGCACTCCCCTACTGCCACCCCACCTGCAGCCAGCAGGATGCTCTCAGAGCTGACTCATGGTGGGGGTCGGGGGAAGAGGAGCAGAGGCCAAAGGCTGAGGAGCTCTGGCCCAGGTACCTACTGGGTTACTTGTGACAGGCTTTGGCCTAGTAGCTGCTTGTGTATCCCAGACCCCAGCTCTCAGGCTCTTGATTGCTAAGATGAAGATTTATAATAAACAGGTTAGAGAAATGTAAATGCCCTTAATGTTACATAAGCTCTTATCGCTTCTGTATATTTATATATGAATACCTATATATATATACATATATGTATGAGTCATAAGAAATTATTTATATATTCATCCCCCTATGAATATGGGGATGATAGAGAGGGTCTCTATCATGTAGGGGTATGTGTGTTACATGGATGTATGTATTTGTCAAAACTCATGTAACTACACAGAAAATCTGTCTATTTCACCATAAACACCAATAATTTTTTTTTAAAGCAGCAGCAGTAAAAGAAAAAATGCTGCTACTACTCAGTGCTGTCAAGGGGTGGCCTGGGCTGCTGGGCATAGATCCAGCTCCTCCATGGAGCCTGGGGGAAGGAGCTGATTTCCCAGTGATTCTACACAACGTTCTCTAGCTAACCAAAGTCTTGTTTCCAAAGAATAGTCATCAGTGACAAGGCAAAGTGTTCACATTACAATGTTAAAGAGAAAAAAAGGGGGCAAAGTTTCACATAATGCAGATTCCCAATTTGTAAAAAACAGTTTGGACAAAAGCAGAGATGCATGTATTCATGGAGCCAAGGAACCATTCACTGAGCTTTCCCTTGGCTGTGACCCACATGTCACAAACCCTCACTGAGCTCCCAGCCTGTGAGCAATGACTTGCAGAGGTAAGTGCTTCCCTGGAGACCGTGGTGGGACCAGCAGGGTTAGGGCTTTGTAGGTGTGACAAACTGGGTTTTCAGGAGAGCTGGCCCTTGTGCTGAGTGGTCTTCCTTTCTAATCAAGGTGTGCCATACAGAAAGCACAGAGGTGAGTGAAGTGTACCAATCTACTGTGTAAGCAGGATGATGACTTTTCTCAATGTCCACGGTGCAGCCACCATCCAGACCACAATGTTGGCAACCCCCAAGTGTCCCTGTGTCCATTCCAGTCTTTACCCCCATTCCCGGTAACCACTATTCTGATTTCCATCACCATAAGTTTGTATTCCTGTTCTAGGACTTTATACAAATGGAATCATAAGATATGTCTGCCTTTTTGAGTCTGCCTTCTTTTACTCAATGTGGTCTGAAAGTTCACTTCATTCTTTTTAAAATTGTTGTGTCCATTGCCTGAATATACCTGTTGATGGATACTTGAAACACTTACGCTGTTTGGCTATTAAGAGTAGAGCTGTAGACATTTTAAGACATGTCTTTTTGCTGACATAAGCACTCATTTCTCTTGGGTGTATATCAAGAAGTGGAATTGTTGAGAGATAGGGCAGCTAAGTGTTCAGCTTTAGTACAAACTGCCAAATGGTTTTCCAAGTGGTTGTACCATTTCACTCCCCCAGCCCCAACAGTGTCTGAGATCTCTGGCTTTGAGCTGAGTCTTGATGTGTGGATTCTCATGGCATTTTATGGTGGTGGCAGATGGAAGCTACAGTTAGGGAGAAAGACATTCTGGGTAAAAGGAATGACATAAGGATGCATGGTGACCATGAAAATGCATCATTCAGATCTCCTGTGGCAGAGGACATGGGATGGCCCAGCTGCTGTGCTGAATTCACCAAGGTACTGATGCAGAGGCCACATTTCCCACTGTGGTTCCCAGCTGATTAGCGTGGTGGGGATACCTACCTAATGAACATCTTCAGCTCAAGAACTCCCCATCGGCCTGGTTAAAAGGTGTGCCATATAGAATGCACGGAGGTACAGCCTGAGGCTCCACCTCCTCTCCCCGGCTTTTTTCCCTCTCCTCTTTATAGGAGTCAGACGTGCAGCAGGTCTCTCTAACAACAAAAAGACCAAAACTCCTTTCTTCAGGGCAGACTGGATCTTGGGGGAACTTTCTAGCTCTGCTCCCATGGAACGCAGACAAACGTTAGCTGAATGTCATTAGGCAAAACTGCCCATGGGAGTTTTTGACTTCTGATTGACAAACTACACCTAGACTGGAAGGACAAATAATCTACACCATCCGGTAAGAAACCATAGCCTTAGGCTTCCCTAAGTGCAGAAACTCATAACTGGGAGTGTCCTTTGAGGGGCCTGCGAATTCTGATTGTGGGTTGTTGAAAACACATTGACTCCTATAGGGAATGGGCTTCTGAACCAAGGTGGCCTTCAGGACTACTGATGTGAAGACTGCTCCTGTGGAAGGGAACTGCTGGCACGGTCCTGCTGGTACACTAAGCATCTATCTCCATCCTTCTAAGCACCTCCGATGCCAGGTATGGTCTGTCCTCTTGCAAGTCTGAATGTCTAGTTGAGCCTAAGAAAAACCTATGGTAGATACAGCTCTTCCTCCCCTCAGCCCTCTCCCACCTACTTCTAGGCTTTCATCCCATGTAGGTAGAACTGTGATATTAGTCCAGCTAGTCAAGATGAAATCCAACCAGCTTGCTCACTTCACCATTCTAGACGCTTTCCCATTGCCATGTCTCCCTAGCTAACGGTCAGGATTAAAGGGCACCTGGGTTTTGATGACCAGCCCCCCTTCTTCCCATCCAATAAGAAAACTTGACCAAGATGCTTAGAATCATTTAATGAATGTTCCAAACATACCCTTCACTGGGCTATTGGTAAATTTCACTGGGATGGAAGCAGATGAACCACCCAATCAAATAGCATGAGTACTTGGTTTCCAGAAATCTGGATACCAGAAAAACTCAGTAGGAAACATCAGGATCACCTAGCCAGAGGTTCCTTGTGATTCTTTCTTTCCTTCCTCTCCTCTTCCTCCTCCTTACTAAGGAACTTCTCCAGGGGTATGAATGTTCAGGATGGAAGAAGGCGGGGGCTGTGTCCCATATCTCCAGGGCAGAGAGGAGTGCTGTGACACTACACCCCAGACGCAACAAGATGACAGGGAGGCACAGGCCTGCTCAATAAATAGACAATAGAAGTCTCCACAGTGGGATTAACAGGCCCAGGGAAGCTGAACTGCAGAAGCCACCCTCCCGAGGCCAGGCTGTGGCCCACTCACTACGTGCTGCACACCAGCACATCTGCAAAGGGTCCCAGGAGGATCTTGTTGAAGATGCAGCGGACCCACACCAGGTAGGTGGTGAAGGGTTTGATGTTCTCAGTGAAGGTGTGATTCTGCAGGGCCAGGATGTAAGGCACGTAGGTGTTCTCTCCCTGCTCCTGCAGCCACACCTCATACTTCACCTCCCTCACCTTCAGGTACTTAAGGTTCCATGGGATCTGCCAGGAGATGGTGAGGCGGGCCTCGGAGGCGCCATGCACTGACGCCTGGCACCGTGCATCCCGCACCTTGCCTGGATACAGGCCAACTGTCCACTTCTGCTTCCGTGGTCCTGGCCGGCCCTTCACCACGCGCCGTATGGTTTGAATGAGGGATGGGATGTCCACCCTGGTGTCCTGGTAGATTCGGAAGAGCCACTCGGGATTCCGGCAACAGAGATGCCGTGGGACCTCGCGGCTTTGCAGGATACGGGCTTGCTCAGCCCGGTCCAGGTGGGTGATGCCCCCCTGGTCCCAGGGCCGCTCAGGGTGTGTGACTGTGTTCTCTGGCATCATGTTCCGCCAGGCTACATATTGGAGGTCCATGCCAGGCAGCATGGCCAGTGTCTTATAGGGAGTATAGTGGTCGGGATTGACAGCATATGGGAAGAGCTCCACCACAGTTGCCCCACGGGGCAGGAAGAGGGTGGTGACCAGCTGGGCCCCATGCATGCTGACTAGCATGGAGGCATTACTGACCAGTCGCACGACATCAGCAAAGGTGTGGTCCTCCAGGGACACTGTCACTGTCTTCATCTGGAACTCCTGGGCCAGTGCCAGCAGCAGCTCTGCTTCATTCAGGATGAGTCTGTTCTGGGTTCGGCTAAAGACCAGAATGTACTCCTCACCTAGTGGGGCTCCTGCCTGGCTCACATTAAGCTTTTCCGTCATGAACCGTGCAAACTGCCGGATCTCATTGCCCGAGACGAGGATGTTGGCTTTCGGGCCCTGGGGCTGGACGAAGCCATACTGGTACCAGGTGGTGATCTTGGAGAGGCCCACAAAAGCATGGGAGAAGCATAGCAGCCGGCCTAGGGTCTTCAGCTGTGCCCGCAGGAGAGGCTGCTTGGGGCTGAGCAGCTTGTAGAGGTCGAAGTGTGCACCCTCGCCCCAGCCCTCCATAAAGAAGAGCCGTGCCTCGTGGGCCAGGCCAGGAAACTGCCGCAGGGTGTAGAAGAGTGGCAGCAGGTCGTCATGGAAGACGTGCATGAGGTTGTCGGGGTTGAAGCGGTTGGCGATGAGGGCCATGTCTGGCACGAACACTGGCTTGGGCATGAAGCGCAGGGCAGCGGCAGGCAGCTCCACGAAGTTGAAGTACTGGGTGTTGTGGTCTTCCACGGTGGACAGGTCGAGCAGGGCTGGCTGGAAGCGCCGGGAGCCCAGGTTGGGCAGCATGACAGAGGTGTTGCCATGGAAGAAGATGAACTCCTCAGCCTCATTGGAGTAGCAGAGCCACTTGAAGCGGCAGATGCGGTCTGTGTGCGTGCGGCCTGTGCACACCATGTGTGTGCCGCCCTCCATCAGGATCTGCAGTGCCTTTGGGTAGTCGATTCTCAGTGTTGGCGCTGGGTCTGGGGCCTGTCGGCCGAGGGCCAACTCCTCCTCCAGTGTGGCCGCATGCTCACGCAGCCGCACATGCTTCCACAGGACCGCCGCCAGCACCGACACCAAGAGGGCGTTGAACACCGCTGAGAGGTGCATCCTAATGCCACCGTGTGGCCCTAGTGAGATGACGGCCACTGGGAAGCACCACAGGCCAGTCGGGCCTCACCCATCCCTATGGGCATCCCAAGGACTGGTGAAGCCTGCAGGAGGAGAGAAGAAAAAGAAAAAGGAGTGGCACAGTCTGCCTGGCATCATTACAAGCTCCTGTTATGTGCCAGGCACCGTGCAAGGCTCTGTGTGCCTGCTACAGCACTGGATCCTTGCAACCAGTGTGCATGTTGGTAGGCATAGATTAGACCGCTGTTTAAAATAGTCACTTCCTCCCCATCACCTGCATGTTGGAGAATGCATCCCCACACCTGACTTTGGGCTTAGCCACTTAACATGCATTAGCCACTGAGATGTCAGCAGGCAGAACATAATCAAAGGTTTGGAAAGTGTTTGGGCTGGCTTTGACCTCTTTATGACACTGCCATAAGAAGAATGTATTCAGGCCAACTTGCTGGCCCTAAGAGGAGTGAGATGCAAGTGGGGAGTGAGATACAGCCATATCCTGTCTGGCTCAGCTGATCCTCCATGACTGAGTGGGCCCAGCCAAGAGGGCCTCGTGGGCCAGGCCAGGAAACTGCCGCAGGTTGTAGAAGTGGCACTTCCAGTGGCACCATCAGCCAAACCCAGCCAAGATCAGCCAACACATAGACATCTGGGCTGACCAACAGCTGATTAAACATCCCTAAAATTCTGGGGCTGTTTGTGCTGAAGCACTGCTGCTGCAGCAAAAGCTAACCAAGAGAGATATCTATGATGGCAGGCCATAGGAAAATCCCTTGCAGGGGCCTGACACTCCTGGACTGCCGGGTAATGACTTCCTTAAATGAGAACAACTGGCATTGGAGGCCTGTGAACACCATTCCCAGGTTGCACACCGAGACTCTGGTACGCCACTTCTGAGAGACACACACATGTAAGCACAGGGGTAGGTCAGCTAAGCTTTGCTCTTGCGTAAAGCTCCTTTAGAAATCATGCCTACTAAGTTTTAGAATCCCTTAGGAGGGTAGCACCTCATCCCCTCAGTGGTAAGATAATTGTAGCTGGGTGTCACCATTGAAAAATGTTTTGTATACTGAGGCAAAAAACCCAATAGGGTTTTAAATGGCCTCTCCCCTACACACACCGACAGAGAGGCCTGGCTAGGGATGGGCATTTACTCCTTCTTCCTGCAATATTGTGAATACTGCCTGCTCTGGGATCCAGGATTATTCAGACAGTGGAAGAAGCTCATCCTTAGTGACACAGGAGGAGCACAGGTAACACCTGATACCTGCCAGGCACTGCACCGTCAGTGACTAGGTCCTGATGCAATTTCCACCTCCCTGCAATAGAAAAAATCAAAGTGCAATCATGCCCAGAAAGAGAAGCTATCTTCAGCTAGGTTCTCTAAGAAGCAGAGTCAAGGGCAAGGATTTGAATCCATACATTTTGAGAAATTATCCTATGAAACACTTGTAGGAGAAAGGGAAAGTGAGACAGAGAAGGGACCAAAGCCAATACATACAGGGCACATTGATGAACAGCTAATGCCATGCATGGTCTTCCTCCCATGATCATATGCTGAGTATAGTATGGAAGCTGGGATGTCTGTCTGTCAACTCCTGTCGGGCATTACTTAGTTGAAGGCCATTCCTGGAGGCATGAGATCTCTTCTGGCCTACTCTTATCCAAAGGTTGGGCCCACATATATGAATATATACTCCCAAATTTCAGGAAATGAGAATTACCCTGACCAGGTAGAATACACTCTAGCTTCCCCCTGCCACCTTTTTTTTCTAGTACACTCTTATTCTAAGGTAATTAAAAAAAAAAAAAAAAAAGCTGCCCATAATCATCTTAATTAAGTTTCCAACCTACTAATGAGGTTGGCAACTTGCTATTTAAAAAATACTAGTCTACTCCAGATATTCTCAAGCCTGGTTGATTACTGGAATCCTCCAGAGTACTTGCTAAATAAAAATCCCTGTTCCCAGGCGGCAGTCTTGGAAGTTGATTCAGTAGGTCTGGAGTATGGCTCAGCCATCTGCATTATTTGTTTCTTTTTTTTCCTGCCTTCTTGTGAATTACCTGAATTTCACTTTGATTTATCAGTAGTGTTTTTGAGTATATCTCTTGGTATAGATATTCTAGTGGTTGCTTTAGGCATCATACTATCACTGTCTACTGGTATTGACATTTTACCTTTTGAATAAATGTAGAAACTTTACCTCCACCTGGGTTCCTTTATAATATAGTTGTCTTATGTATTTCCTCTACATATAATGAGACCCACATCAGACAGTAATTTTGGCTTCAACTGTCGAGTATGATTTCCTCATGAGGGAAAGGATCATCTATTATATTCACCCATATTTTTACTCTATGTTTGTTCCTCATTCCTGATGTTCCAGGTTTCCTTCCATTCCTCTATCCCTTCTTTGAAGAACTTCTGTTAGTTCGCCATTCTTTTAGGGTTGGACCTCCTGACAACAAATTCTCTTAGTTTTCCTTCATGTCAAAATGTCTGATTTTAGCTTCATTCCTAAAGGATATTTTCACTGGGTATAGAATTTGGAGGCAGATTTTCCTTCTTTCCGTATGTGAAAAATGAGCTGTCACACCTCTTCTGGCCCCTGTTGACTACTGATGAGGAACTGCCACCCTTCAAATTGTTTTTCCCCTGGAGGTAATGCATTGTCTCCTGCTGCTCTTAAGATGTTGTTGAGTTTTTTGAAGTTCGACTCTGAGGTGCCTTGGCATGGGTTTCTTTGCTTTTATCCTCCTTGGGGTTT